CTTATAATACTACCAAGTCTGTTTTTCACTTCAGTAATCACTGTCAGGTCTATTTATCTGACTACTATCCACTGATGTAAACCATATTCATATTTCATAACAACATTACATTCCAAAGCAAATCCCGGCGGTTGTCGCACAGCTGACTGGGATCCTACATGGGAGGGGTAGAGGGCTGGGAATGATCGATTATATAATTAGCCTTTAGTAATGTGAAACAAAATTATAGCAACAGTGCCTGAGTCTGCCGGATAGAAATGTGCGTGATTAGGGCTGTGGCGTGGCGCTGGCCTCTCCTCGTTAATTATCCAGTGCACTAATTGCCAAGTGAGGAGAGTGGGCTGGAGGTTTGGGTTCCTAATAGAGACAAAAAATAATTGAATTCTCTTTTTATTTTCTCCCCTCTTCTTCTGCTTTTCCTGCTCCTCCTCCCCGCTCTGCCCTCCGTCGAGCGTCGTTCGGGGAATTGGGGACTCGTTTCATGTATACTAAATTGGCAATTTATTCATGATGAAGTTGCTGGTGTGAAGAGGCTTTGATGCTGTAGGGGGAATGTTGGTGGAAGAAAGAGTGAGTAAGGTAGACACAGTGAGAGATGAGAGGGAGGGAGGGGGAGAGGCTACCAAATTATACAGGAAAACATGTAAACGAGAGCTAATGAGCAGAATCAACTACTCGAAATCTGTTCTCAAGTAAATATTATTTCATGAAAATATTACACAGGAAGTAATCAGAATCATGTTTGTCCGGTGGTGGTGGTGGTGGGTGACACTGACAAAAATGAATTTTAAAAATGCATCAGGAATGTGCCAAATATGCCAATAAATGTTTTGGTTGAGGTTCAAATATCACACAAATCTACAAAGGGACCATAAAATGAACCACAAAAGTGCAAAATTACCACATTATACAATTTGGAAGACACTAGATGGTTCTGGTCTTTCTAATCAGCATTTTTACTGGCATTTATTTTTCACATAATTAGAGACAATAAAATGACTATTCTAATTTAGCATATTTCCAGAACAACATTTGGGATATTATCTTTTTTTTTAATATAGCTCCCACATTTTTTAGATTACTGTAGATCAATAGTATATTCTAGTATTTTATAATAAACAACATTTTTGTATCTCTAAATGCACTTATGTTAGGCAACCTGTTTGTATAGAAATTGTGGCACTAGGAAGAGTATATAAAGTTTAATATGTTAAACAATTACAGATTACTTGGACTATGCAGAATTATTACAGTATTAACATGAATGAAAACACGTGGAAGTTGCTTCAAGGAGACAGCAATGTATTTTAATGTATTGTTTATTTATGCATGACAAATCATAACATGACCACACATCCACTGATGACACATGAACATACAGACAGCATTTTCATAACACACACTTCAGCCTCCCATCCTTCATCGTGTTCTTCCATATTTGATACCTTCCAACCATGTGCACACTGTGGACCCATGGAGTGTGCATTCCCCTTGTGTAGTTGGAAGTAGCAGTCTGTCTCTGCACTGCTGTTTACGCTGGATTACCCCGACGCTTCAAAGCATTTCACTTCTGCCCCATTTACTGGTATATGTGCGCTCAGCATCCCCACATCCTCTACAATACACACTTTCACACAAACCTTATCTGTCTCTCCAGAGTTTTTCTTCTCTTTGAAAACACCACCAAAAAAACTGTCTCCATTTTTGCCCCCTGAGTTCTCATACTCCTTGCTGATAGAAATGTCACTCCTGGCTCCCGGGCACACCCCAAAACATGTATATTCTGACTTTTCTGATTTAAAGATGTCTAGACCTCAAGGAAATGCACACTCCTTCTCCCCTGTACCTATCTCCAAAGATCCAATCACAGCTGAATTAAATTTCAATGAAAAATTATAAGAAATTGAAAACGCAAGATAATCTTAAGTTCAATAAAAACTTTAATGAGACTGGAAAAAGAAGCGGGTTATCTGGATGACATCAAAGTTAGTGTCCTGGGAGCAGAAGTATATGAGTGCCACTGCTGTCATATCTGCTTTTGCCTGCAGAGACTAGTGCTATCTCACTCCCTATGCCTTTCCTTGACTCTCACTCGCCCAGCCTGCTACAGTATAACAAGTGGAGCAGAATGATGCACAGCAATGCCTCTCCTGGCCCCTCGTGCGCACTCACACGCCCACACACACATATACAAGCACCCATAGGACCACGCTGAAGGAACACCATACACAACACATGCATCATTGACATAAATGGAGAGGAGTGGGAAGACATACCTGCCACTATAGCAGTATATATGACATCTATGTGAGCTGGGAATAGGTTTATGTTTTATTAGTACTTTCCCTACAGAGGGCACGTCCACTGTATGGCTCTAGGGCTAGGCATGACCCCTTGTCAGATTTTGGCTTAGAGCTAAAAAATATATTACCAGCTGCCCATCATTGTCACTGTTTTTTTATGATGACAAGATCATATGAAACATGGAAGAATAACATGTAAAAGAGAATGTAATTAAGTGTTTAGCTACTTGTTAATTAAACATTTGATTTGAGTGACAGTTTTTCTTTAGGGACGTACTGATACAATACCAATATTGGATAAGTTTTGGTGGATCTGATATTGGCTTCCAAAATATCATTTTAGCCAATATCCCATTTTGTTCTATAAATTGGTGTAATAAGACAATTTACGGACCAAAATGTCTTTTATTGTAACAAAGCTGATCAGAAGATGCAAAACACATTTGAATCTTTTTTTTGTACCTTATGCTGTTTGTGTTTTAAATTAATTAATTATATTTTCAGTTTGCCCTAACTTAGGTTGCTATCAGACATCAGCAAATACTTAAAGCCAAAGTATCTACATCAGTATCGCAACAGGAAAATACAAAGTCTGGGCAATAGGCTATTGTATTTTTACCATTGTGAGACAGGACAAGGTCATTATTAGCCATGTAATCTCTATGATGGTTTCTTTTCCTGCTGTTCAGAGGATGAGCAACAGAAACGACAAATACTGTAACACAAAGATGGTCTGGAGGGATCGTAACCATCCACCAGAGACACCAAACAATAATGCTGTGGTACAGAACAGTCAGTGGGGAGTGCATTTTCAGACATTCTGCCTTGAAAGCGTGGATAATGAACCACATCACCAACCTCACTATTATTGATTTAAACATAATTTTAACCAACCATCAAATAGTCTGATTTGACCCAAAACACTGCAAAAGCACCAAAGCGTTTAAATTAAAATAACTCAAAACAAAAGCCGCAAATCCGTATGTTTAGGAAACCAGAACGGGCCAATTTCTTTGACATTTTCCCCTGACACACAACTGAATAGATTTACAAAATTGTGCCCAATTTTACTGTCTCCGCTCTGAATTTATTTTCTTTTGTGTGCTAATCAGACCACTTGTGCTCCTTCCTTTGTCATGTACGCACTAGTGTTAACTGTGTTGTGCTAATAATTATTATATAATTGATAGGGAAAGCCAAAATCTTTTTAATACTTGATAAAACACGGGAGACACATTTCCTGACATGCGTGTGCTCCCCTCCTGCTTTTCCTCGTTTGTTTGCTGAAGCAGTGGATTAATTAGTTTTTGTTTACATGTAGCCTTCCCAAACTCATTGGATATGCATTCTGGCTAATTAGCTCCTAGCACTAAAAGAGGACATCATATCAGCATATTAGCTTGTTGGATAAGCACTCATTTCATGTGTGCTGCCATTTATCCATGTGTGGGTTTACACTGCCCCAAAATAAACAGGTAGGGATTAATTTGTTCATTTCCGAGGCCAGACCTAGTGTTTTGTACTACATACCCTTGACATATGAGTCATTGCTAACCATGTAAATGCACCATGCTTTTCCCTGAAGTAAAAGGGGATATGCAAAGTCAAGCTATGTATGTATGAGTGTGTGTGTGTGTGTGTGTGTGTGTGCCAATACCATAGACTGTATAAAAAAGTGGACTAAGCGAGTGTGACATACATATCACCAAGTCTGCAACCTTGCCATTCCCATATGGAAACATCTTGTCTTTCTAATATCATGGCATTCGTGTTTCTTTTCCCAGATTTTTTTTTTTTTTTTTTTTCACATTTACTCCTGAGAGAGTCCACGATAAGTGAAGAATGGGTTTGCCGAGGTAAAAGGGTGGTGTTAAGAAAGAGGAAATAAAGAGATGGACAGGACTGGGAGATGAGTGTGTTTGATAACACCTGGATTTCCACCTCTCTTGGTCCCAGTGGGCTCCTGTCACCGCAGACTCACCGGACTGTTTTATCAGCCTCCCAGTGCTAACTCTCAAACCAACTCTTGCCGGATCCTTTATCTGTTTCTCTTCTTAAAGTGTGTGTCTAAAATCTACGGTTGAATTCGTAAGAGCATAAAGGAATGCGAACGGTAGACAAAACAACTGTTCTGGGGATATTTCAGCAGCCAACTCCTCTCTATTCGGCACAGTAGTATTCCTGGATTCAGAGATGTTCTGCATGGCTGAGTGTGACCCAGAAGACATTATCAGATAAAACTCTAATTTCTTCCCAGACCCTCGAGCACAAGTTTTGCCTACTCACAGATAAGGCACAAAAAGAGAGGAGAACCAGGTTTTGGGGGTGTAGACACATCGTGATTGCAATCAACTAATTAGCCAAACTTGATTTTTGAACATCTGTGGGAGAATTTCTATTGCACCATCCAGTAGACAACAAATTAAAGTGTGTTAGTGAACATGAAAAGTGCTCTATATCTTAACCCACTGGATTTGCATGGGAATGCTGCATTTGCATCACTAACCTTTGTGTTATCATTGTTTATCAACATGACATATGGAGAGGAACATTTGTGCTGTTTCATCAAATTGACCACTGTCTGCGGTCGTTTATCAGTAATGATGTAATGATGTTAGCATTAGACCCATGCTAGCAGCTAACAGTGACTCAGGCTGACAAAGGTGAATGTGACCAGAGTGTGTGCGTTTGCTCTAGGCCATGGTGGAGACAGTGAATAATCTGCTGCATCCCCGAGCCCAGGCGGCGTGGAGAGAGCTCCCCACCAGTGAGCAGCTGCACTCAGCCACGTTGCTCCTCGACACTGTGGAGACGGGCGCTTTCATGTTAGCTGACAATCTACTCAAGACAGACACTGTGCAGGAGACCACTGACAACATCCGTGAGTACTTTTTCACTATCTGTGTGTGGATGATTCTTTGTCTTTTCTGTAAACTCAGCTAGACCCCCAAACTGTCAGGAAACCTGTTGAGATGCCCTCAAGCATGGCACTTAACATCCATCTGCTGTGGAGGAGCTGCACAGCTCAAAGTGTGAAAGGCTGAGGCTCAAACTATACTGGAGCACATTATGTTTTGGAGACAGTACCAGAATACAAAGTTCACCACAGGTGTAGAAAGAGCTTTCTTAGATTTCACAGGGCTTTTGGTCTGTACAGACTTAAACATAACTTAAACCATGTGAATGCTGCTAAAGATCTAAGATTATGACTCAACTGCACTCAGTAAGAACGCTTCTGACAAGAGGCCCAATCCTTCACCCCCCACCTCAGATCCACCTTTCATATTCTGAGAAGAAAGTACAGCTTCATGGTGCCAAATGCAATATACATTTTTATATAGTTATATAAACCAAATAATAATATGCAACACTATTCATTGCTTTGGGGATTGAGAATGGACCATGCGTAATAACAGTTATGCATTCAGTTCAGTGCATCTCGGGATTATATTGAAAAATAATATGTCATAAGAAAAAGACATTAGTGAGATGTCAAAAATATCCAAAGAATATCCAGACCAGTAATGATTATGTGTTACCACAGAGGTACCCAGCCTGCCAAAAGCCCTGAGAAGGTAATTAAGAAAATCAATATTGTATGAAAAATAATTTGTGTGGAGTGAAATTGAAATACATTAGATGCAAGTGTAATAACACCCAGGTTCCCTAACACAATGATTCACCTGTCACTAGCAATATGACCTGCTATGTACATTACCTTCTGTTACAATCTGGTGTGTGGTGATCTAATGCGTTCAAACTATTGTTATTTTCATTTTTTTTCCTGTTTATCTTTGCACTTACGTAACCCTGCTGTGTACAATGCATGCTCAGTCCTCACTTGATCCATTATGTAGACTAGGTGCTGTCAAAGGGAGGTCATGCTATTGGTCGGTAGGTCGAGTTCTTGCGTGAGCTTTTGAAGGGCTCATTCCCCGGAGATTCACGCTCGTCAGCATCAACATCGCTGGAGAGATGGCCTTGAGCCCTCCTGCACACAATGAATTGTTATAGCCAAGATACAAGATCATTCTTATTTATTTATTTATTTCTTCCATATTTTTCCTCCCGCTAACATGTAGGCGGACCCGACAAAGCAGAACAAAGCCAGTTATTATGGCGTTGTGCACATCTCTTTTCCTCTGCTTCCTTCAGCATCCTTATCTTCTTTTGAGTTTATTTAATCTTTTTCATCATGGAATAAGTCAGTAATAGCATGTACTAGATGTGTTTTATGTGCGCTATAAGTTACCAGCTTTTCGCCTCACCCCTCGGCTTCTGTTTATTCTTTTGATTTGATTTTCTAAATATCAGGCACGCCGTCGCCACATCACCAGTATTCAGGGATCTTATTTATAACAGATGAGAAGTTATGGCAGAGGGAGGAGCTGGGGAAAAAGAAGGAACTAGAGTTGATGTTTAAAGTCATAGTAGAAGATTGAGGGTTACCATGGCGGTGGGTTGTCAAATGATGTTACTAGGGTATTTTGCCTCTATCTATCAGCTTTTTTGACTAAGAAAGATGCTAATTAAGTATTCACATAAATAAAATATGTGCTATTGATTTTATTAGTGAGCTGAGACATCAGCAGAGGCGGAGAAGGGAAGCAGTGGGACAATGCGCTACTGAAATGGGGACAATTTGGGGTGATTAAAGATAGCATGGAAAAGTTTTAGTATTTCATCTGTTCAGATGGTGATATTGCCAATACTGTTTAATGTAGGCCTTTTACTAAGTCATTTTGAACTCCAATATAGTGTTTGACGTAAATATAGATGATAAATGATAATATTGAAACTAAACCATAAAGCAGAATCATCCCTCAAAAAATATTCTAAATGTACAATCTTGTTAAAAATCATGATCCCATAGATCAGGGGTCTCCATACTGTAGCTCTGGAGCTACAAGTAGCGCTCCACCCCCTTCCATGTTGCTCGCCAAGGCATTTCGGAATTCTATGTATTGTGGATAATAAGTAAAATTTGATAAATTGCCATTAGAAATGTATCATTTTGATGCACTGATAAATGGATAATGGTTTATGTTTCATAAGCATCTAACTGTTCCCCATCTAAGGCTTAATGTGGCTCTTATATTTGCTTAGTTTCTTTGCGACTTCTGAAATTGGTAGCTCTCTGTCATTTTTGTTTCATAAAGGTAGCTCATTGGAGAAAAAAGGTTGGACAGCTCTACCTTACATCTACCTTACATGTGTTCAATTACAGATGATTTTATTGCTTAAAAATACAGGCGTTCTGACTGAGCAGGGTTGTCTCTCCACAGGTCTGACCAGTAACTTGATCTGGTTTGGTGTCCATGACAATAGAAATGCTTAATACTATATGGTGGAACATTTTAGAGAAAGCAATAACATCTAAATAGAGAAAAGCAGGTGGAGGGTCCCTCCACCAGAAAAGTTCAATAATGCACCTTTAAGTAGTTGGTTTGTGTCAGTATAATAAGTCATAGATCATAATTCAACCCTGTACAGCTCAGATTTAATTGTAGTGCAAAAAATAACCATGAGTTCCACTAGAACTAAGAAAAAGTACCCACGATAAATATTAACCCCCCAAAATTATTGTTTTTTTTTCTATCCTGTGTCGATATAGTATTTATTATGACAGGCCTAGTTCTATGTATGTGATTTTTTTTTTCAGAATCAATACCATCTTTAATGAGGCACTCAATTCTACTTTTAGTATCTGAATCAATTTTTGACAACCCTAAAATGGAGAAAAAATACTGAATATCTATTTTAATATTGGGTGGGTCAGAGTGGAGTAGTAAAGTGTGTGATGTTTCAGATGTGGAGGAGGTGATGGAAGATCGTTCATATTCATAGTCTGTGCTGTGGAAAATTGCATCTCAACAGGTTAGCCACGGAGGTTATGCAAATCACATCACAACCTTTGGAACTTTGTTAGTGAATGCCAAAGGTATATGAGTGTCACTGGTGAGTAATGACATTTTCTCCTGTAAGAGCTCAAACAGTGTAAAAAAAAACCTGAAAAACTCCACAACTCAGCTTAATATTTAGTTTGTCAACAGAAATAGAATTTAACAGCTAAAGGTCCTATATTACACGTAATGGATTTTTGTGAGTAGGCCATGTTAGAATGTTGTTACCTCCTCATAAACATACCTGGAGTTGTGTTTTGTTTCATTCACAAATATTATATTATTAGTCTGTCTACATCTCCAAAGCTCAGATGCTCTATTCCAGTTTGTGATCTCATGAAACTGTAGTCTTCAAGTTACCAGATACTTTTTACTTTTGGTTCAGAAGAGAGTGGCTTAAATTATTCTAATGAAGGTGTATGGAGTTTAAAAATACAGTGGACCATTATCGTGTAACATCATAAGGTGGAAGAATATTTTTTGTTTGAGAGAAGAATACAGCTTACATATGCAAGATATAAGCACAAAACACAACTCCGGGTATGTTTTTGATGAGGAAACATTATAATCTAAACCAGAAAACAGCATAATATGGGGCCCTTAATATTTAGTTTGTATCTGACATTTAAAACAAGAAAATCAAGTCAACAGCAGAAGAAAACCAGTTAACAGTTAAACAACAGGGTCAGTCTATGGACAAAAATGAGGCAATAAAAAGCAAAGAACCACATTTTGCTCTTTTGCTGTTTGCTGTTATGCTCCCCATAGTTCTGCCACTCAGCCGTAATGTTGAGGAGAGTTTTTCCGAATAAAATTATATCAGTGCATAAACTCTATAGCAGTACCCGCTAACAACACTTCCTAATCTGCAGTTGCCATGCCCACTGTCGCTCAGCGTGAATTGGCCTTTAGTACTTTTGCTGCGAATTTGGTGATAGGGCAGAGCAAATGCAATTTCGCTAGTGAGCTCATTCTATTGTGATAGTCTGGAGAAAGGTTGTTCCAGAAATCTTAATTAATGTTGAGCAATTATTGGAGGAGAGTTAGCAAAAGTCTGATGTGAAGCTCTGAGAAAAACCCACAGACAGACAGGAAATGCTGCTACATTTTACAAGTCACTCTTAATTTCAAAACAGATGCCTCCCTTCACAATATCACCGTACATAAGTCCTGTCTAGTTCAACTTCCAATTTACGTCCACCCCTAGCACCACATACATGCTGTTACATAAACGAAGAAGTGGGCTCTCTGAAGGAAGTTAAAAAAAAATGTAAAAAACCCGTCTTTTTAGTGTGGAAATGTTCATCTCCTCGTCTTTGTGCGGTTAATCTTTGCTCACAGCTAATCCAGTGGGCAGATCCAGCATGATTATCTCTCCCCTTTATTCATATTCCTTTCCATACTCCCTCTCATTTCACTTCTTCTATCAGAATTTTGTATTTTTTTTCATTCTCGGCCTGTACTTTAAAAGCCTGATTTCTTTGTCTCACCCAGGCGCCTTGCACTGAAAAATACATTATTAAACTGACACACTTTCAGAATAGTTCCCTGTGTTACATTGCATTTGGCTTGAACAAATGTGCTATTATTAGAAACAAAAAAGAAAAAGATAAAAAAGTGATTTGATAAGGGATAACGCAGCGGTGCCAGCGTGCGTTTGTGATAAAGATAATGAACGACTATGTTTCTTAGGAGGAGGATTGTCATGACAAGGATGCTTTAATTAGATTAGGCTCAGCATGTTTGGAGACCCCCGTCGCTCCCGTGGGTGGGGATGCTGTGCGTACATGTCATGGGTGCATATTGTGGGCGGGGCGGCTAAGTGTTCGGTTTGGATCAATGTGCCGTTCCTTGTTTGCATATCCGTTAGCAGTTATTCATTCCCTGCTATTTTGGTTTGCTTCACAAATATGGTGATGTAACTCCAGACATCAAGAGATACTCAAACGTAAGGGCTGGGGCAGTGTTGATACTTTGC